ATCGTCTTAACGGAAAGAGTTTTATATACTTTTAGAAACTCGAATCCCTGAATCTTTTGCCCTCTTTTACTTAAGGAAGTTTGCAATTTTGTGGAACAGGTTGGTAAATAAAAATAAGCGAAAACGAGATGCAAACACATACTTGTATTTTAGTTATCTCATTGAATTTTCATTTGAATTGAAACAGACAAACAAATGAAATTCTTGGTAGATATAAATTTGCGTTAATCACGTTTCAATCTTTCAGTCTTCTTCCAATATATCTCTACCAATTCTAAAATAATTTATGAAAGACAATATTTATAAAAATTAATTACATTTATTACTCAAAAAAAAAAAATAATTCAAATATTTAATTTATTTCATTACAATCGTTGAATGCAATTATTGTAATGCAAATTTCATTTTCACAAAATGAGATTATTGGTTTTCTACAAAATTTTTATTCCAAAAAAACTAATTCAAATTTTACATTTTACATTCTATATTCTAATAATTCAACTTTCAAATTTTATGCGATAGCATAAATTTAAATTATCCTGAATATTATAAATGTTTACAAATATATTTTTGCGGTCCAAGATATGTTTGCAAAATAGATTAACGTTAGGCATTGAAATATTAACTACAATTTTTAAGAATGGTGGCTAATATTTCTGAAATATGAATGAAGAAATTTTTCTAACCATTTCTTCTCGAATTTTTTTGTTTCAGAAATAAATTATGATTTACTCGAGGCTGCCGTGGCGTCTGTCGATACGGACGACAATAATTTGTACATCGACGATGGTCTCGATGGATTTCCAAGTTTTGGCTTCCGACCCGGATCCGAAGTTAAACAACCCTATCGATTATACTTGCCGGAAAAATTGCCAGCAGAGTTCACCCTTGTGGCAACTTTCAAACCGATGTCCTTTAGGACCAGTTATCTCTTCGCGGTTTTGAACCCTTTCGAGACAGTGGTGCAATTAGGGATTCGTATATCGGTAAGTAAAACTCTACGTGTCATAAATTTTTTCAAAATTAATATTTGCATCTATTGTGCTTTGATATTTGCAAAGCATTGATATTTCATTGTATTATATTTGACTAAAAAGATAATGAAAATAAAACAAAGTTTATTTATCGTACAAATTTATAAAAATATACAATTACAATTTGATAATTTGGACGATAGAAGTTTTTAAATGTAGAATATGATAAGATAATTGTTAAGATTAAGATGTTTAAAAATGTCAGTATTCCCTTCAGAATTTAATTTCACTAAAATCATTTCATTGTTAATTTAAAATTAAGAATTCATGTTTTCATCACGTCAATAATAAAAATTTGAAACAATAGAATCACTAGAAAATCTAAAAATATAATAAACGACACCGAGAAATCCATTCAACGTTTCCAAAAATTCGCCTTTTTCCAACGCGTATCGCGTCTCGATAAAACTATGAAATAAAATAGAAGAAAAAAGGGAAAAAAGCGAACGATATAAAACTGAATACAAAAGTAATTGGAAAATCGGCAAAAATTTCCAACTAAAATCGGTCGATTTACAAGGAAACGAGTGCAGTGGCGCGATAGAGACTTTTAAGTCGACGCTTTCCTATTGGCGGATGCAGGGAATTTCCTCATGTTTCCTAATACCTTCGAGGCCGTTGTTACATTACGGGTCTTCAAATTTCTTTGAGATCTTTCACGTTCTCTCGCGGCACCGTTTTCCACGGATAATACCGAGGTATACGTGTTTCGCTGCGAAAGCACCTTCGATCTCGAGAAGTGTGTACGATCCCCGCGAGGATCGATAGAGACCGCGGGAAAACAGCTCGACTTTCGAATCCCCTTGGTATTTTCTGTTCGAAGTCGAGAACGAATTCGATAATTTTTTATGACGAATCCAGTTCTGGTTTGTTGATTCGAAATTGGAAAATTTCAGGATCTTTAGAATCACATTCATGGGATATGTTTGTCTCTTTTATTTTTTTAAATATCAGTTAGATATCTGGGAGAACATGAGATTTATTTCAAAATTTTTTGAATTATCAGTTTGTAATAAGTATCTAAATATTTTATCTATTATTAGATTATTGGATTAATTTCAATGAAGAAATAATATGTAATTATATATTTTTGATTCAATGAAATACATAAATGTTTGATAATTATAGGTAAAATTTATAATCTAAATATTTAAGAAATTATATATATAAAACAATGAAATAAGGACTTGTATCTCAACTAGAAATTTATATAAATTTTTATAATTTTCATTTCACGATAGGATGGACCAGGCACCAATCAAAATGTCTCATTGGTCTACACCAATTCCGACTTGCATTCACATTCAGAAGAGGTGGCGAAATTCACGGTGCCGAAGTTGTCGAGAAAATGGTCTAAAATCGTTATCAGAGTATCAACAACGGATGTCACTTTGTACCTGAATTGTCACGAGATGGCCAGACAACGAGTGACAAGAATTCCTCTGGAATTGGTATTCGACACAGCCAGCACGTTGTACATCGCTCAAGCTGGACCTCATATCCAAGAAAAGTATGACGTAAGTACATTGTCAATTATTATTGAAAGTAATTTATTTGAACGGCACTGAACTGAATTGAATCTGTTTTGATTTTAACGAGGCTGTGTAACATGAGACGAGAATTGAGACAGTAATTTTATTGAATTAATTATCCATTTTTCTATATAACTATTTGAAATTTGTGATTACGAATTTTATGTACTATGTGTTACGCAGTTTAATATTTTATTAAAAAAAATTACAATTTTAATTTTAATATCGGTAGAAAATTTTGTATCAATGAATTAAGTATTGAAAATATTTAATTAATTGATCAAATAAAAATTAGTTTAGAAAAGTACAATCATTTTAGCTTTAATTTTTCTTTTTAATAAATTAAAATTTGAAAATTTTGATCAGATGATTATATTAATTATTATCGATTTAATTATTGATGTTTATAATTAACAAATAAGAAAACAGATTCAACTTTGTTGTCCGAACTATTGCTATCATCCTTTTACAAAATAGTTCGTTCGAGAAACATTCTGTGAAAATAGCAACTTCATTAGAAGCAAACGAGTTCGAGAAGCGTCTTGCATCCACTTTTAGTTGGTGAAAAGACGAAGATGATCGGATAAAATGTTCAGAGCCGTTCCGTTCTAAAGTACTAAAACTTGTTTCTCCAGTCTCGTCGAGTCGAACAGACTTGCCAACGATTACAGATTAACCTCGAAATGCAATGGTCACAGAAGCGTAAGTAAGATATTTCTATATATACATGTATGAGTTAATAAAAATTTGTTATTATTAATGTTACATTAGTTTATAAAAACAAGTTAGATGAGATAAAAAAATATGATTTCATTGAATAAAGATAATATTTATATGTATTTTAACAGAAGAAGAATTAGAGAAAAAGGTAAGTAATATTTTATTAAAAAGTATTTGAGAAATTATATTAAAGTTTAATTTTTTCTTTTTCAAAAAATACAAAATAATTTAAGCTTTTTAAAATTGCATTATGCAGCAATATTTCTCAATCCTTTTTGGTTAATTTTTAATTTTAAAGAATTTTAATTTTGAAGACGAAAAAAGGAATATTTAGAAAATATAAAAATATTTATAATATTAACAAAAGATCAGCTAGTTCAGTATATCGATTTAGTTAATATTAAGAGAAACTAGCTTCTGTAAATAAAATCGATTCTTATCTATTCATCGAATATTATTTATGATTATTAATAAATATTTTCACGTGTTGTAAAATATCAATAAAATTCTTGCTATTTATTTATATGTCATGAAATTTGATTGAGAAACATTGCTACAGGGAATCACATAATAAAGCATTGAATTAAATTTCAAGTCGAATAATCATAATTATGAAATTTCACACAATGCGCGTTAAGTATTAAGCGATTATCGCAATAACTTAAGAACATTTATCACAATTTCGCCTGGTAATCGGATATAATTATTTGTAATTTTAAGACCGTATCCCTTCTAGTACGTTGACTTTCTGATTGCTGTTTCAAGTCGTCGTTTAACGATAATTAGCTTTCATATCGATGCACTCGGATTTTCCATATGCGTATGTGGAGACAATGATTTATTTCGGCTCTTTGTTAATTAGCCACTGATGATAATTATTGCAATCTGGGGCGTTGGAATATTTCGTTATAATTATATAGTAACGTATTATTTGCTAGTGGATAATTACGCTATCGCGATTACTCCGCAAAATTACTATTTATGTTTTTCTATTTTTTATGATTTTATTTTTTATTATTTTTCTTTTATATTTTAGTTTTTAATTATTTTAATTAACATGATATGAAATATGTTTTTCCAAAAGCTCATCTTCGTCTTGAGTAATTTTTATTGAAAACTTGATAACAGTCTTGATAGTTCGGTGTTTTCGATGAATTTTTTAATTTGTTCTTTTGTATATATTTCTGAAGTATTAATTTTGTTAAATTTATTTAGTTTTTTAATAATTTGTTAGTTGATATTACATATTATAAGCCATATGTTTAATATTCAATTCTGAAAGGAGGATTGTGGAAATATATTTCATTCATGAATGGACAGTAAATTCTGAATTTTAGGTGTATAATGCAAATTTTACAATTACGTATTTTTCTCTTGAAACGCAGAGTTGTTTAAGATTAAAATTATAAAATAAAGTAAATTTCTTTGATATATTCAAGAAAAAAAGTGTTTAAAATCATATTATAAAAAGAGCAATAACATATTTTAAATTTTTATATTAAGCATAAATCAAAATAGCTATACAAATATAAAAAGAAATTTATACAAATAAGGAATCGAAATTCATTAGCTTCCATTTGCAAAAGTATTAAAACGAACCGAAAAGCTATTAAAACGTCATATTGGCATCGTATCGATTTTATATTTATATGAATTTTTTCCCATTGTCTTTCATTATTGAATTCAGCTTTGATGCAAGTTTCGTCAAATATAAATCACTTTATATGTAGAATCATATGTAGAACATTCGAATTTTATCCCAAAGCGATTAACCTATTTATAAATTAAATATTTTTATTCATTTTGTAAAAATAAAAATATAGCTTTTCCATTCCATGGTGTATGATGAAAAATATCATTACTTCGCTATAAAAATTATTACGGTCGATGAAAATGAAAAATTATTATATAGAGATAACGATACAGGGAAGAATAATGTGAAACGAGGACGAAGTTATCAATCAATATTACAAAATATTGTTAATATTCGCATCGAATAATTTCTCGTTATTTGTTCGCGATTATCGTTGTGCTTTCTGTTATCAACCGTATTTCTGTTTTAATCTGTGTAAAATGACCGAAGAGATATTATTGACTTTTGTGAAACATTGCTGTTAATATTATTTTAATGTAGTTATAGTTTTTAATTCTAACTTTGGACGAACAAAATTTAATATAAGTAGAAGTCATCATGAAATATTAAAATTCAGTAAAAGAATCGGGTTTAACAATAATATCGGGTTAAACAATAATATGTGTGACGATGATTATTTAAATTATTTACGTTTTATATATAGGTATTATTTTATTTGATATTATTTTATTACAGCAATTCATAAAAAAAATACAAAGATGAAAGAAAATCAAATCAATCATAATTATAGTTCAATATAAAAATAATTGAAAATAGAATATTTTTAATTCTCAATAAAATTTAAAAAATTAAAATTTAAAATTTAGGATAGTAAGAGCAATTTTTAGCCGAAAAGTCATTTTGAGATATCGTAATACTCGGTTAAAACCATTAAATATCTAAATCGAAATAGAATGACGAAATTGGTATGGTGATAAGTAAAATTATCTCAAAATCGGGTCAACGCGATGACTAAAGTGGAAAAATAGTAATTGCTATCAAATGAATATTAATTGCGATCTGCATCTCTTACGTTTTTTTTTATATTCGTGTTATTCTCAAATATTTTTTTATAATTGATATTATTAAAAAAATGTGTCGATTTATTTTTGAAGCTTTAGAAGAAATAAGTAAATTATATTATTTTAAAAATTTTGTTGGGTTTTTCATAATAGTTTGATATTTGTTTTCATTAATTATTTAGATTGATGAATATTCATTTAAATAATTAATGTATTTAATAATTTTTATTTATATATTAATTAATATTTTTTTTTAATATCCAGTATTTTATGTTCGTATCTCTGATATTTTATTTGATATTTTAATTGTGTTTCGGTTAAATATTTGACCTGTTTTCAATTTGAGAATTTTTACTGTATACAAGCAAGTTCTTAAAATTTTAACATTAAAAAATATTTCATAATTTCATTATAAAAATCATGATTCGCGAAATTATTTTAATATAATAATTAATATCTAATTACCAAAAGTAGGAAATAATTAGAGTTAAGCTCTTAATACAGTAGATGAATGTTTTCTATGTTTTTTATATATATAGAAAAATATTCTATTATCACCATTTATAAAATTCAAGGAAATTATAGATGTGTCATACCTTGTATTATTTAATTATATTTTGTATATTAAAATATTGAAAAAAAAGTTGTTCGTTTCATATCGTTGAACGTAAAAAAAAAAAAAAAATTTCAAATATCGAGATAGAATGAAATCAAATTAATTCCGACTCGTTGAATCGACGAAAGCAATGTCCACTTTACAAGAGACTTATTTTTCGTGTGTTTAATCTTCATCTCGAAGTAAGAGTGATATTTTTGAAATCGGCTAATTAATTCGACAATGGCGATTTAAGCAGAATTTCGTCTCATCTGACGCACAGAATTTGATTGACAATTTATTTTCCGATTCGGTGATTCCGCGTTGTTTCAAAGGGTGAAAACAGAAAAATGGAATTCCATCCGGTGGAAAGCCGAATAACGTTCCGAATATCTTTTATTAATGGAATTATATCACTCGATCGGTGGAAATTGGAATCCGAGAGCATTTGATAATCTTCGTTGCAGCCGATTAAATTTTTACGTTCGCATTTTCATTCGCTGATTGGAATCATTTTAAATGTGTTAAAAAGAAGGAGAAAAAAAGAATAAAAGTCATTTCCTAATACGATAGTAGAATTATTAGTAGTATATAATTGAAATTATCAATTATATGTCACGAAACATGGAAAAGTAATTTTGAGGAAGCGAATATCTCCTCCACTCCATCATAACAAACTTTCGTATTATTTCCTCCTTTCTCTCTTCAATCTCTTCTTTACCTATGTTTTAGTCTTTCGAAGCACTAATTCCTGCAAATTGCATCTTAGATTCTTCGCAAGATACTTATTTAGCATTTTGATAAGATGTTTATTATCGATGAGCTGGTATCGTGAATTCACGAGGTACACGAGGTCATAAATTGATAAAATGTTTATACAAGGATCGGATTTATCGAGACAAATTTAATATATAGGAAAATGTCCTTAAATTACCGAGTTTATCTCAAACAACAAACACTTGAAATTTTTGCTTTCGTTATTAGAATTTCATAAATTGTGGCTCGATCATGAATC